CAGGTTGTTCAATTTCATTTCATTTTTTATTGATGGCAATGCGAGAAGTAAATGTGGTGGAGATCATCAGTCTTTTCAAGATTTATTCTTTTGGGCACACAGCCATGTCTTTCTTCTCTCAAATCATGGCAGTATGGTACTGCATAGTTGTAAGATCTCAAAAACATTGGTTCTCTCTTTGTCTTTCCCTCTTAATTTATCTTCCATCTTGCTTTAAGTTCTTGATCTTATGCTTGGCCTTAGTTCACGTGCCCTTGCTCAATAGCAAAGCTTTTTTTTCAAATTAAATTATACATGTAGCTTGCAGCAGCAGCAGCAGCAGCAGCCTTTATTTAACTTAACCTATTTGTGTATGTCCCAGCAGCTTTTTCTTTCTTTTATTTAAAGGGAGATTATGTGAGATATTGCTTTGCCTCTCCCATGATTACTTCTCAATACTTACACGTTGGATTTGAGCTAGGCACTTGGGGAGTAATCCCATCAAGATGAGCTTTAAGAACTTTAATCCAGAAGCCAATAGTCGAATTTCCATCAGCACTGCCCTCTGTGTTTTTTTCTTAATACAGCATTGTTCTTGATGATGGGTATAACCATCCATCATGTGAAGAATTGACCAATGGTTCGTCACTTGGTTGTTGTGATTATCTGTTAGTTCCTAATGATATATTTAGAAGTTGATGAATCATAAACTCCAGCCAGCCTCATCAATAATCAGAGATAAATCATAAGCAAAGTTATTAAATCGGCCGGTATCATGACTCAAATAGAATAACCTGATTAATTCAAAACAATTTTATTTTGATTTTTTTAAAATTAAATTGGGTTTTAATCTGGTCATAAATTGATACGATATATTAATAAAATTAACTCACATCTAATATAATTTTAAAATAAACTCATGTTTATGATTGATAAATCATTAAATTAACATACCAAGGTAAACTTAATAACTTTGAAGGTCGGTTAATTGTGGGGTTAAGGTTAATGTAATGTAATTAAGCACTCAAAAGGAGACAAGTTTTTAAAGACACCAATAGACCACACTTGTTTTGGGCTCTCCAGACATGGAGGCCCATGCTTTTGATTTCTCAGTATACTCCTTGAGACAAGGTATAGTATTCAATAAGTTAGGCAAGGCATCAAGATCATGAACATAAAAAACTGTATCTGATATAACTTTGTCTTTACATTTTCTATTGGGGTATAAAGCTACTTGGGCTCAGCAGCAGCAATGACTTGAATTATTCTCTAAGAAGAGTGGGTGTCTTGTTTTTCCATGGCACCTTCAACCCTATAGGACCTCAAGACTTAGATAATGCATGCTCCTACATCTCAGGACCAACCCAAATGCCTTCCAACTCCTCCCAGGCAACACTCTATGCCGCTATTATCACAGTAGTGTAGCAGATTAGCATCGCACCTGTTTCGCCACACCACTAGAAGAGCAGCCACTGAAGATCTGCACAAATTGCTTCCCCATCACCTTCTCTTGATTGTCTTCAAGTATGAAAATTTTGTCCCCTTGTCACTGATTTTTCTAGCGTGAGCTTCTTTGATCAGAATTATATTTTCTGGTGTTTTTTTTGTTGTTGCTTTTTTGCTAGAAATTAAAGGTATTTTCAATGGCTATTTCCTTTTTTGCAGCTTTGACATCACATCTAATGAATCACAATTCACAAGTGGCATCACTTTCACCATGTCTTCCTAGTTTAATCTTTATCTCTGTACTCTTTTGTTTATAGATTGCAACTATTTTGTGGCAATTTATAACTTGTGTGTGCTCATGGAAGTCAATAGGCAGGCATTCTTCGCATTGCAAGTCTTAGTGCGTATTGAGCGTTTGTGTCTGGTTAGTGTTCTAAGACAAAACAGATAGAAATAAAAAGAACGGGTATGTATTTGGTTGAAGGAACAAAGACAAAGACAGACATGAAAATAAATTTGTTTCTAAAATGGTTTTGAAGTGAATTTCTATCATCTCAAAACAGGAAATAAATCTCCTCTGTCCCAATTGTCTCTTTCTCTTATGTTCCAAATGCTTTCTTTTACAAATTTTCTTTCTCAGGGATAATGACGGACTACAAGACCAAAGACAGGAAACAACAATTGAATCTGTCTGAATAAGCTTTTAAGTCTACATTTATTTGATAATTTTCAGAGTTGTTACTACCCGCGATCTCCCTTCAGAGGACTATGAACGAACTAGGTTCTGAAAGATCAAAGCCATGGAACATGTACACAAGTTCAGACCCTGCACCATCTCAAACAGGAGTAATTGACAGGGAAGCTCCATGGAAAAGTTTTGGGACATCCATGAATGCGATTTCTTTTGGTTTTGTTGCAACAGCAATCTTGGTATCAATGTTTCTGATAATGGCCATCTTTGAACATCTCTTTCGGCCTACTCCTCCTTTTTCCTCACCTCAGGAAGTCACCAATCGTTCTGCGGAATCAAGACCACTACATAAACTCAGAAATCCACAAACAGTAAGTGCCCTTTTGTCTACACGTGGCAATGCCACATTTCAAACTAATTTAACTTGAAAAAACATCAATTTTTTATGCTTTGTCAAGCTAAACGCAGCTTCGGTTTCTCCATATCTCGAGACACAAAAGAGAAACTACTTTATGAAGCATTTGAGTTATAATGTACTATAACATTCCAAATTTTTGACCAAAAAGAGAAGCAATTGCAGGGTATTTTTCTGTGGCATGTGTAAGAGCTAGTTGTATGCTTCTACGGATTGATGACAATAAGTTCCTGGCTTGGTAACAGGTTCCAGCAGCTTATGCATCAGATTTTTCAGTGGTGATGCCTGGACAGCAACACCCTACATTTATTGCCCAACCAGCACCTCTGCCTTGTCCAAGAGAAAGGATAAATTGGCCTTCCCATGAGCAAATTACTTGAAAAACATGGTGTAATGCTTGCATTGGTTCATGTAGAAGATGTTTTGTTGTACTATGTATCTAATCCAGTATAAAAATGGTTCATCACAATTATGCAGTGCTCATTTCGTTGGCTTTTGTTACCAGATTGGATTAGTTGATGAAAATCTGGCAGTTACTTGAGAATTTGACCACCCTTGACAAATCAAAAAAGAAAGGGGCCCTTTTCTACCAACCAAGCTACTTTGATGGGGCAATTCAAAGAAAAATCTACAGTGATCCAGCAGTAACAGCCACTTCTTACATCACAGCAAGAATTACAGGGGTAGAATGATACAATAAAAACCTCTAAAAAATACATGCCCATAACCGATTAGATGAAGTTTTGTTTTAGGGACTCGTTCATTCACTGGATGTTTCCAAAATAAAATGGGTACTCCTTGTATAAATAAAAACTTTTTACCGATTAAAATTTTATTATGTATTATTTTTATTTTATTTTCATATAAAATAATTAAAATAAATAACATAAAAAATAAATAAATTTTTATATATTTTTTAACTAGTGAAAGATCAATACTTGAAATAAAATATTAAAAATATCTTGTCATAAATGCAAGATTTCATTAACAAAAATTAATCAATAAAATCATATCATATAGCATTTAAAAAACACTTGAGAGGCCTTATAAATTTCTAAAAACAGAAAGCTTTAATTTAGGAGGAAAAAATTCTTAAAGATACAAAATCTCTTCAAAATAAACTCTTTAAACAAAAAAGCTTTCTGAAAAATTTTTAAATCCCATTCATCCATGCTTCAAATCTAAAAAGAACAAAAAACAAAACTCTTTTAAATTAAGCCTAAACGCTCCTATATAGGATTCTTCCACAACTCTCTAAAGACAAAACAAATGTTTTTTTTCAAACATCAAAATAAATCTTAGTTTGATCTATCAAATAAATCAAGTTATCATATATTAAATTTAAAGAAAGAATCAAAGAATTATCTTATTCTTTTAAGAATATAATTTTGAAATTTGGCTTCGCCTAACAGATTGACTCGAGGCTAAAATAAAACCAAATTTAAGAAAAAATAAGAAAAGGAAAAATCAGGGACAACCTGGTTAATCCAACAAACCCAGTTAAAAATCTAATTACAACTTATTGACTTTTCTTTTACTAAAATAACATTATTTTGATTTTAAAAAATAGACCTGGTCAAAACCTGAAATCCAGGTCTTGAACCAAGCTAACTACCAGGTTGAGTTTAAAAACTATGTCTGAAAAAATATTTTAAATAGATATTATACTTAATTATATATTTAATAAAAATTATATATTTATGCTTATTTAATTTAAAATGCTCAAGATTATATCTCCACTCTTCCATCAAGTAAATTCAATAATTAGCATTTATTAGCATTTCAATCCTATCGGGTCCAGAAGGGAATCTTGTATTTATTAATAGTATTTAATCGTGTTTAAATTCATAAAAAATAACAAAAATATCTTTCTTCTTTTTAAAATTATTTTATTAAGCGTTTTTATTTTTTCTCGTTGTATCTATCTCTCGCCCTTCTTTAATAGAATTAAACTATTAGCATAACTTGTTTTTTAGGCTAAGTGGTAATTTCACACACCAAACTTTTTTTATCCCTTTTTTTCATTCATGATTATATATTTCCTAATATATTATTATTTTATTCCAATTTCATTAATCTAAGATCAACAAAATTATCCCAAAAAATCCTAATATAATATACAGTGATATCGAAGATGTATTTCATTTTCAGCCCAACTATTTCCGTATATTTCTCAACTTGATTTTTATATATTGAGCTATTTTAATTTAAAAAAAAATTATCCACGTTTAAACTACAGAAAGAAATCATAAAATTATCACTCCTCTTATCAGTTTTTCCATATGATACATGTTGTATCATTTTTAATGGTCATGCCCTCAAAATTCAAAACTTAAAGGAAGCATGGAAGGAGGTGCAATTTTAAGATCTTCATGAGTTCAATAACTAAACTGAGGGATCGGATCAGAAGCATTTCCTAGTTGAGGGACTAATCATATATATATATATATATCGAGGGATTGAATCGTACAATTAATCCAAATCTAGTAAAATCTGTGAATTTTGTATTGGCGCAGAAGAGAGGAAGGGAAGGGCATGCAGGTGAGAACGCGCCTGAGCCTTGAATATTGCACAGTCCTCCTGGAATCCTGCATTCAATCAAAATCTCTGTTTCGAGGCAAGCTGATCCATCAGCATCTGCTCAAATGCCTACACAGAACCCACGAAACCAATCTTACAAATTTTGATGTGCCATTCGAAAAACTCGTGGATTTATATTTAGCTTGCAGTGAACTTAAAATCGCACGCCATGTGTTTGATAAAATGCCCCATAGACCCAATAATGTTGTTTTATGGAATTTATTGATAAGAGCTTATGCTTGGAATGGTCCCTATGAAGAGGCCATTGATTTGTACTATAAAATGTTGGGTTATGGTATCACACCCAACAGGTTCACCTTCCCTTCTGTTCTCAAAGCGTGTTCGGCTCTAAAAGAATCGAGTGAAGGAAGAGAGATTCATTTGGACATCAAAAGACTTCGTCTTGAATCTAATGTCTATGTTTCCACCGCTTTGGTTGATTTTTATGCTAAATGTGGGTGTTTGGATGATGCAAAAGAAGTGTTTGATAAAATGCATAAAAGGGATGTTGTTGCGTGGAATTCGATGATTTCAGGGTTTTCTTTACATGACGGTTCCTATGATGAGGTAGCACGACTGCTTGTTCAAATGCAAAATGATGTGAGTCCTAATTCATCAACAATTGTTGGTGTCCTTCCTGCTGTCGCTCAAGTGAATTCATTGAGACATGTAAAGGAAATTCATGGGTTTTGTATTAGGAGGGGCTTCGTTGGCGATGTGGTGGTAGGAACTGGGATTTTGGATGTGTATGGGAAATGTCAGTGCATAGAATATGCCAGGAGAATTTTTGACATGATGGGTATTGTCAAGAATGAGGTGACTTGGAGTGCTATGGTCGGTGCATATGTTGTGTGTGATTTTATGAGGGAGGCATTGGAACTATTTTGTCAGTTGTTGATGCTCAAGGATGATGGAATTGTTCTGTCAGCGGTAACTCTTGCCACTGTTATTCGAGTTTGTGCAAATTTAACTGATTTAAGCATGGGAAGTTGCTTGCATTGTTACGCGATAAAGTCAGGATTTGTTTTGGATTTGATGGTTGGAAATACTTTACTTTCAATGTATGCCAAGTGTGGGATTATCAATGGTGCAATGAGGTTTTTTAATGAAATGGATTTAAGAGATGCAGTTTCGTTCACTGCTATCATTTCAGGCTATGTTCAAAATGGTAATTCTGAAGAGGGTTTGCGAATGTTCCTCAAGATGCAGTTGTCTGGGATAAACCCAGAAAAGGTAACCATGGCTAGTGTTCTGCCAGCTTGTGCTCATTTGGCTGCTTTACATTATGGGTCTTGCAGCCATTGCTATGCAATCGTTTGCGGATTTATAGCTGATACCATGATTTGTAATGCTCTTATTGATATGTACGCAAAATGTGGGAAGATTGACACTGCTAGGAAAGTTTTTGATAGGATGCATAAGCGGGGCATTGTGTCATGGAATACCATGATAATTGCATATGGTATTCATGGGATTGGATTGGAAGCACTATTGTTGTTTGACAGCATGCAGTCCGAAGGTTTAAAACCAGATGATGTGACTTTCATTTGTCTCATATCTGCTTGTGGCCATTCGGGACTTGTTGCAGAAGGCAAATACTGGTTTAATGCCATGACTCAAGATTTTGGAATCATCCCCAGAATGGAGCATTATGCATGCATGGTTGATCTTCTGAGCAGGGCTGGGCTTTTCAAAGAGGTGCACAGTTTCATTGAAAAGATGCCACTTGAGCCTGATGTTCGTGTATGGGGTGCCCTGCTTTCTGCTTGTCGAGTCTATAAGAATGTTGAACTAGGGGAAGGAGTGTCAAAGAAAATTCAGAAGCTTGGACCTGAAAGTACTGGGAATTTTGTTCTCCTATCCAATATGTATAGTGCTGTTGGGAGATGGGACGATGCAGCACAGGTTAGGTTCACACAGAAGGAACAGGGTTTTGAGAAAAGTCCTGGATGCAGCTGGATTGAGATAAGTGGGGTTGTCCATACATTTCATGGTGGTGGATATAGGTCCCACCCACAGCTGGCACAAATAAGCAACAAACTTGATGAACTACTGGTGGAGATGAAAAGGTTGGGTTACCAAGCAGAATCTAGCTTTGTCTTCCAAGATGTCGAGGAAGAGGAGAAGGAACAAATCCTTCTTTATCACAGCGAGAAACTAGCTATTGCATTTGGAATTCTTAGTTTGAGCCCTGACAAGCATATCTTAGTAACTAAGAATTTGCGAGTTTGTGGTGATTGCCACACTGCTATTAAATTTATTTCTTTGGTAACTAAGAGAGACATAACAATTAGAGATGCAAATCGATTTCATCATTTCAAGGATGGAATTTGCAATTGTGGAGATTTCTGGTAAGGATGGAAGTTTTGCAGGTCCCAATAGCGCATCTATGGTCAAAAGCCTACAGAATCTGCTTTTCCCTTACCGGCTATGTGATGGCAGCTATGCAGTAGGTAAACATTTACTTGTATTTCAGCATCTTGTTTCCAGCTTCCCTTGATTTATATGGATAACTTACTAGCTTAGTGATGCAGACAACTTGGGAATATTGAGTGTTTTTAATCATGTTTCAGTTGAGAATGAGGATTAGAGTCTGATGTGCATGCAATTGGATTCATTAGGGTTTTGTTTTAGAAGAGATTGATATTGATATTTAGATGGTTTATAAGATAATATAATGGGCTGGTGTGGAGTTTAGATTTAGTTGTGAGCAGTAGCCTGAGGCAGTCTAGCTATAGCAAAAGAGGAGGCCCAAGGGAAGAAAATAGAAAAAGAAACCACAGAAATGAAAATATCAGATCACAGTTTTATACCATTACTCTTGTATATAAATATCATCAGGCCTTGGGTTTGCTCCCTAGTGGTAACGAGTTCGAGTCCTCTCAGGACCATTAAAAGCTTACATGGTCGTTAACTTCAAGTCCTGTGCGATTAGTCGAGGGGCTCCCAAGCTGCCCCGAACACCTATATATATATATATGGGCATCATATGGAATAGGACTTCTGGAAACACTTAGACTGGGACTTCTAAATAGACTGTTATAAGCAGAGAGCAACTAAACAGGAAGGACTTATTAAAGACTAAAAACTATAGAATCTAATAAAAAATGAACCAAAACTCGAAATAGAAGCTAAACCTCATAATAAATCTGAACACTAGCAAGATACTACTGTTTTGCAGGAACATGCTAAGGTTACAAGTCTGCCATTGTTTTATTAAAAAATCACTGGTAACTTAGAGCCCAAAAACCGCAAACCGAGATATCTAAACTGGACAACTATTCCTAGATGAACAAGACCTTTTGATTTTTAGAAGAACCATGGACCTACACTTGAATTTCCAAAAGAGGTAAATTCTTTTTTAATATAGGATATGATGCTCTATCAGTTAGAAATACTTTGCTCTATTTCCTCTACTTGAACCATGACAAGAATTTCCAGTGTTAGAAAATTTTCAACCCACAAATTATATGCCACACATAAGATCCCTTCTAAATCATTACCTTATCAAGTTTTCAGTGAATAAGCTGCACATGAAACTTAGCTATTTTCCAAGTATCATGTTTGTTGAAGCATATTGCTATTCTGCTTGTTAAATGTTAAAGAAGAGAACAATGATTCAGTATTCCAATCAAACACCAAAGCTTTCATAATAAATGGCTCATTTTGGCTTTGATATCTGCTTAGATCCTCAAAACGTTTCTTCCATAGTGCACAAGCTACAACAGTTTACTAGATGAAATGACTTGTCCCTTAGGCCCTGCCCTTATGGCTCCTATCTGCAGGTAACAGGATAGCATATATCTCTCGACAAGAATTACTTGGAGAAAAAACAAACGAACATTGAAAACGGATTTGGTAGTATTATTAATCTACCTGCATGATCCTGACTGAAGTTCATCTGGATTTTCAATCTATTTATGGAAACTAATAATCAGGTTATATCACTGAAAGCATCATAATGTTGCGAGTATTTCATGGCAAGGTTACATTCCTATACCTTTTTTTGTGTGTTTTTTTTTTTTTTCCTATTTCCTATATTTCCATCATTGAAAATCAAATCCTCTATTTCTTTAGTATTTCTCTAGGTTGTTTCAGCTGTTGGGAAGGATGACTTTTTAGTATAATTTACTATTTCATCTGCAGAGAAGGACGACTTTGTTTCCTTTTTTGGCATTTTAGTTGACACCATATGCATACCACTCAATCCACTTGGCAGGGAGAGGGTAGCATGTTAAGAATTGAAAACCTGCCTTGTTGATGTTGCACAAGTAAACGGAAGAAAGAAACAGGACAGTATTACTGGAATAAGCTTCTGGCACAATGCTTCTGCTACTTCTTTCTCTACTTATCTCCTTTAATGAATCAACTCATGGCAAGCTCCATTTTTTTTCAAGCAAAAGCACCATAAAGCTTTAAATACAAGAGATGAAGTAGTTGTTTCTCGATTATGTGCATTTGGTTTTGTCAAGAGATGAAGTAGTTATCTTTCAATTATGTGCATTTAGTTTTGTTAGAGATTTTCTGTTGTCAAGCATTTCTACTAATTTGATGAATCCAACGTAGTTGAAACACAAGGTATCTGAGACTTCGCTTTTTTTCTCATATTCTTATCTGGTTTATACTTCAACTATTTTGTGTTATTTACCTTTTCTAATGAAGAATAACGAAACAACACCAAATAACCAAAACTGCCCATGATAATTTATTTAATTAATGTAAATAAATCCTTAATATGTGATAAAAAAAAGTTATCCCCGTGCTGCAGTGACAGATTCTGTTCCAGGGCTCCAGAAAAAGAATCATGGAAAGCTGTTGCGTTCATAAGATGCATCACCATGGGTGTTTGTCGGGCATGATGATTATCTTAGCAAATTCAAAGGTCTCTATGTGTTCACTGAACAATGTCCAGGCACAGCATTTCAGTGACAGTGTGAAAAGTAACAAAAATGGTGCAAGTCAAGGAATAAAGCTTTCAACAACTGTTTCAAGGAGTATGGCTGAGGATGAGATACAGCACTGTCAGGCTCAAAGGGATAAAATTAAGTATTGTTCTGTGCTTTGTGTTTTGAGCATGCCAGGTATTCTCCTCTGTAATGGATTTCAAATCTTTTTTTTATCTGCAATATTTTGCATTGAATCAAAATTATTTTTTTATTTGATGAGTTTAATTAAGGTTCTACACATATCATTGTCACATCAACTATGCATCAATACCCCTTTCACCATGTGGGGAACTCTTAATCAAGATGCTTGAATCTCTTTGACAAGTGACTTTATAGTCTCTTACATGTGCAGTTCGCAAATGGCATATCATTAGCTAACAATTGACTGTTATTGCCCTGAACTATCTTTGGGATGCACTTTCTGGAACTAGGGTTTTGGACCTTTTGTTTGGTAGTAGGTGACCTTTCTCCATGTTTTCCATTGATAGAGCTTGATTGAGTCTTTAGATGAAACTGACGTGAATAATAACTAAAGCTGGTGCTATGATTTGACTCATGTAGATTTGGCAAATGAAAAAACATGAACAGAAGAAAGCGTCTGCTGAGACTCAGAGGAACAGTTGCTGCCAACATGCATATATGTTCCTGTAAATTTTGCTGTCCAGAAAGATGATATCGGTTGACATCATGGATGAACAAGATAGAATCTGAGCTGTCTGGCTGTCTCTCTCATGCAACTCATCATGATCTTTGCAATATGGCCTGTATGAGTTGGTGTCTGGGTGTTCTTTCACGTTATTGCAGCTATTCCTTTTTTTCCCGATCCGTGTGAAACAAAATGCCATATTACCCACTTCGAAGAAAATCTTTACTTGAGAAATGCCTGTTCCGATTTCCTCTGATCTTGTAGTGGTTGTGAAGCCACCGATGCCCATGTAAGTGTCTACCAGAGAGGTTCTTCTGTCTTGTTATGGATCTCCACTGCTTTGCTATGATGCAATTTCTGTTCATGGTTTCAGAAACAGTGATACCATTTCTATTTCTTTCTCGCGTGAACCAAGCAGTGATACCAGCACCTTTGCTCGTTTAGTTTCTCCAACAGGTTCGATGTTATATGATGATTAGTTGTACATTTTACTGATCATTTTTTTTTCCTCCTAATTCCGTCTCTTGTAAAGAAATCTTGCAGTTTGCGGCCTAGAGTTGGAGTTGCAGATTTTTTTGATGTCCAAATTCATTGATGTATATGTGGTTGTGAAGATTGTGTAGGTTCTCCATCTGAATCTACAGTATTTTGCTGCAACAACTACTACTGATAATATTGATGAAGCTGATAGTAATGGTAAGGATGCAGCTATTTCTATTAAAAGTATCTCCAAGTAATCAACATATTTTACACTATTAGATGACTGGTATCATTTTCATAGCCAACAGAAGGGCTTTAAATATCAGTTTTATTCATGCTTGTTAAACTTGTTATGCTCTTGACCCTAACTAAGACTAGGTGTCAAAAAAATCAACCTAGTGTTCACATGCTTTGACGTGATCTTGATCGATTAACTTGGTTGAAATTGAATTAAAATCTAGTTTGATTTTTAGAAAGTAAAATGATGTCGGTTTAACTTTTTAAAAAAATTAAAATGATGTTTTAATTGATTTAAGTTGATTCATCTATTTTATAATTTTTATATTGAACAAAGTTATTTGTTGGATGAAGTTGGATTTAATAATTTTAGTTTTATATTTCTAATAAAAATATAAACTATATTTTTTCTAAGCTAAAATAAACACTAAACAAAATCAAAAGATGACCTGTATTTTTTCAATTGTTCAAATAAAAGTAACTTTAATTGTTTGAATTCTGTAAAAGCTACCGACCATTTTATTTGAATTACCATAAATTTAAAGTAACAAAAAAATTTAAGAAACTTGTTCACCACACAACTCCACAATCCTTTTTACCTTTTAAAAATATATTGCAACTCGTGGTCAATAAATTCAAGTTGATTGTTTCTATTAGAACAAAAATGTTTTACCTTGAACCAATCAAATTTAAATCTAGTTTAACAAAATCATTAAAAACTTGACCGATTAATCAGGTTCGAGATCGGATCAACCTGCTAAGCCAGGCTACATTTAATAACTATAATCATCATACAACAGATGAGTCTGATTGCCAACCCTAGCTAATAAAGAACTTGTAACCATATTGAACTCGCCAATTGATGAATCTACAGCGGAAGCATACTTACATTACAGGCAAAAGAATTGGTGGTGAACACGCTTTTACAACAACAATTTACCTCCTACCACTTCCAATCCCAGTGTTTCGATTCATTTTTGGACTTGTATTTTGTCTTCATCGTAGGGGGAGTACAAAATCCTTTAGTGCTCTGTTTCGACATCATCGTCATCATCAGATAATACCTGAGTCAATAACGAATACTTAACCCGGAGAGAAATCCGGCCCTTCTCGACTGCTAGTTTTGCCCCAGAAACAACCCAATAGCCAGGAGTTTCTTGTGGCCCTCTAGTCATCTCTGTTATGTCCACAAACTTGAGAAGCTTAGGGGCTTGAGATGGCATAGGAGGACCACCAGGGTATACAGCTGAATTTATATTTACATCAGCAGGCCGTGGAGGTGGCTTCTGCACTGATGTGAAGTGATGGCTGATTAAGGTTGATATGAGGCCGGACTTGCGTGCCAACCCTGGCGATCCGTCCCACTCTGGTTGCTTCACGGATACAGCTCCCAACACAGTTGAAAACCGAAGTCGCAAAAAGAGAATATTTTTAAACCCGGAATTCATAACTTGTAACTGAGCTCCAGTTACTATAGAAAGATCTTCATCTGACTCGACAGGGGCTGTGCAGATATGAGAAAAATGCTTCCACTGAACTTTCTCATAGTATTTGCGTTCATAGGATTCTTGGTTGGCATTACCATTTGAATCATCTTTAAGTTGGAAGATTTTTGGAAGAGACGAGAGGTGCTGCAAGTGTATGGCTAAGCGATTGCTCCTTTTACCTTCTAGATAAAGCCTAAGGCCAGTCACAGGTCTCTTGCCCACATCAACCTATCAGACAAATGAATGAATTATAAATCAGAAGCTAGCAGAAAACAAATTCACAGCAGAACCATCACCATTTTTGGCATTCTGCACCATCATTGAATGGAGGAATGTTAGATGGTTCGAGTTATTTTACTTTGCCTGAAAACCGCTGGTAACAAGAAAATGAAATGAATTGGGTTACTTGGTTTATCTGTGAAATTTTCTCAAGAAGTATTGGAAGAAATTTTGATGTGATATTAAAATTCTTGATTGAAGAATGCAGTTGTGCTATGGCAGCACTGACAAACTGAGAAAGATAAAAATATTGAAAAAGCTATATCTAACAGATTTATATAGTTATACCCAGATTTATGGTATAGGGAATGCACACAGCAAATATTTGACATCTGGGATCCTCATCAACCAGAATAACTTCGGATAGATAGACCTTATGGATATAGCACTACTTGGACATTCTATTTTCTTACATGAAACCATACAACATCATCATATTAGATCTTTACTGGTTGAAGGCAATAAGTAATACTCGGCATATGCACATGAGACGATCATGGTTTAAGGTATCTAGTAAATCCAATTGAAAACAACAATTTGAGCAGGTGAGAGAAGCTTTACCGGAGTGGTGTTCACAAAAAGCTTTGGCCCCATGAGACTGAACTGTAATGAAGCTGTATTTTGTTGCTTCCGCTGTGGCCCCAAGGGAAGTTCACTGAACACTGGTGCCCACTGCCTAGGCAGCTGAAATTCCAAAAACTGGTGTAGCTCTTCAATTGGAGGCTTATCTGGTATGCATTAGCAGAAAAACAGAAGTCATTTCTAATGAGTACAAATGAATAGCAGCAATAGAAGAACAGTAATGAAGATACAATGAAAAACATGACAATATCACAATGAACTCATGGCAAAAAGATTGCAAAGCCCGGAAAAAGAATGTACTGATAAGCAAGCAATTTTTTACTAAAACCAAACAAATAACTATCCATACATAATTTGATCACTATTAACACTAAAGCAAAACACAATACAATGAAGTTACAAACTTCAGAACATTTTTCACTCACATCGTAAGTAGAGATTTATGGCATGGCTCAAGAATCCACTCCCTGGGACACCATATAACAAAGAGGTAACCGGGATAAAGGACATTGAGATAACATCAGGCTCAGATTGAACACTGTGCAACCATTCAGTATGGGATAAGATCCCATTATCCCATCCACCTCTTCTCTTGTAAATTCTTACAATATCCTGCATCAGTCATTAGACAATAACAATCAAAATTATAATTTTTGCCAAAGAAAACCCTAGAGATCTTCAAAATATTTCAGCAGATGAGTTTGACAAGCATATCAGGGACACTACCTCCTTGTGAGAATACGAGCTTGATGGATTGGTATCGGCAAACCTTAGCCTCTGCTCCCTAATTCCAAGCTGAAGCAAAATTGTTTGGATAAGATGCCTTGAAATTATAATAAACAAATACGACAATTGAGTGTGCTCACACTCTTGTGGTTTACATGTTATTTACATAGAAACCCCACAGGCAAATAATGTTTTGCTGATATAATGGCAATTTAGAGATCATTTGCACTCCAGTGACAGTTTCAATTTTGGCACTTCATGTCAAATGGTTTGCTCCATTAGCACAGGCCTCAATGCCATGGAATCAAAAGACTGCTGTTATATAACAACTGCTATGTAATAAAAAATTATAATGCCATTACGTTCCTGTTTGACAACGGGTTTTGTTGTTTTGCAGCCAAGAAGACCATAGTGGTCTATAGTGGATACCTTTTCTTCCGTCTAATCTCTGAAATCAAGCTACTGCACACCTCATTCTACAAGTTTTTTCCCTTGACAAATCTAATTGTGATCAACATCTCGTGTGTTAACACCAGACAACACTTCTGTTGTGCACTTCATCTCCCAAATCCAAATGTTTTCAAAGACATTCATAATCTCCTTTACATATTTGGATTAGAAATACAACCTACCAGCCTAATCCATAATTAGTCAAGAGCAGAAGCTCAACTATGATCATGAAGGAGAACCCAATATACCATAGCATCCAAGTATTCAAGGAAACCCATGACACTACAGAGTGGATTGTGATTGTGGAATAAAGTTCATCAAATAAGCATGACATCAGAATTTCTAATAAAATTTTATGTATTTTAGTTATGTGATGATCAGAAAGTTAGATCTACATGTAAGAATCAGATTGTAGGATTTCAAAAATCAGATCACATGTTAAATGCTTGGATTCCAAATTATATATATATAAAAAAAGTTGATGGGCCATGCCATATGGGCAAACTAATCACAAACCTTGTTATTCTGGTCTACTTGCTCAGAAGCCATGCCATACTGTCCATTCATATCTAAAAACCTCCTATCTGCCATCTCCTTTAATCTCTTCTGTAGATCAGCTGGTTGAAGAGTTGATGAATGTTGTTGTTTCATATATATTACGTCCTTCCCACCCATCTTGACACCAACAATGATATGAGTGCCAAATGTCTCAATAAACCTGAAACAACAAGCATATTTTCAAATTCCAGTTTGATTTAAAAACTTAGGGCAGCACACTTTTTTTTTTTTTCAAATGGGAAGCAATTTTTTCTACATGCCTTCAGAAAAAGGACAGAGAGGGGAAAAAAACACTTTAAACATATTTACATCAATATATAAAGCAGAATTTTACGAATGGAAACGAAATACATGCATTTCAACCAGTACAGACTGCAACCACAATCCCACAAAAGGAAAAAGAGCCAAGGTAGTAACAGTTTCTCTGAAACACAAACAAACACAAATCCTAGTGACAAATTTAACAGAGAAGAGTGAACTTAGAATAAAACTGTTGAGCTTGAATTGCGTTAAACCATATCAACCATGGCATCCATGCTCAGGTCCATCATTCACCACATTGTTATCAGTAGGAACTTATCAAATTCTGTCCTATAAATACTGTACATTTATTTATAAAAGCACAGCTGCTGTTATGACAAGGACTGGCCATGAATATCTCCACTGGAAAATGAAATTCGATTGCATTATGCAAGATAGGACGCTTGCAACTCATTATGAAATGCAGCCAAGCTGTTGATGTGTTGCACTGGAGACAAGAATTTGAAGGTCCAGTCATTCATGCGTTGTGCAACAAGGCAATGACATAGAAGCATGCCAGCAAAAGTATCCATTTAAGATTCTTCTTTCAGAGGGTGGTGGCAAATTCTTAAAAGTTAACGCCACACAAGTTGGTCAAAATGCAGAACACATTACTTGCTATACAAGGCTGTTGACAAGAATTGCAGACATTTGAGAGAGTAGAGAACGATATTAGCAAGCCCATTTTCTTCACATGCTATCTTATATGTTTAATTAATCTCATGCCCCTTTTCTAAATTATCTTGTTCAGTGTGAACTGAAATAAATCCAAAAATTCATAGTTAGTTTTTTTTTTAACAACAAAATTACCGCTTGAAGCAAAGTAGACAATCAGGATTCATTAGGGATGTTTGACAATATAACAAAACAGGATCTTCACCCCTCTCTCCATAGAAGCCTTTGCAATTAGCAATTTGAGATTTCACAGTTTATAAACTGTTAATGGTGTTTTTAAAGGTAATACAACATTGATATCCTCTGTACTCTAAATTGAACTTTTCACAATCTATGAAATACTTCCTTTTCCTGGTGCTCTTTAGTATGCTTTCCTTGCGACTGGTTTTGATGTTTCAGTAGAACTCTAAAATTTTACATAACCAATTTAATAAAAGGTTACTTAATTAGGTCACTGCATTTAAACTGAAAAAAACTCCTTTTATTATAGTGAAAATATGAAGCCTCTAAGACTGGCATTACAGTAGATTTGAAAAACTACTTAATTAATTTCAATAAGAGATTACTTGAGGGAGCAGGTAGAGAGTTTTTAACTAAAACCTCATTTTAAGCTAGTGCATATTTGATCCAGTAGATATGTAGAGTTTTAACAAGGACTCAAGCAATTGTACTCTGATATCTCAAGGTTCAACAAAAGATAAATATAGCATCTCTTCAGATATGCACTAGCTTAAAAAAAGTGTCAGTCATACTAATGCCGTACCTGAATGATTTTTTCTTGCATTATGAAAGAGAATGAAAAAAAACAAGAAAGCAAACCCACATTTACAAGATGACCTTGGATGAGCTATAAGCTTCTTCTTTTTTACAAATTTTGGTGGGAAAGAACAAATGTTGGTGAAAATGTAGGACTTATATTATCTTTGGGTTCTCCAGATCTTCCAAGATGTTTAGAATCTCTTTATTGATAAGTTTTAATTTCACATTTCACATGCCATAACCCATCTTTCAGTTTTACAAGTAGGAATGCTATGAATGTAATGGACAGATTCTCTAGCATATTGATTTGGGTTTGATTTAGAAGAGCTGCTTTGCTCATTTTTCTCTTCCCGTTCTTCCTCTCCTTTTCATTTTTTTTCCTTCCCAATTAACCCTACTTTATGGGCTCAATCTTCTATAAAAAGAAAACATATGCTATAGAGTCACACATCCAATTAATTACATCACCGTTGTATGAAATTGCCATATAAGATAAAATCAGTGCATGGCATTTTAAGTTTCAGAGATTCTGATGACACAAAAATAGCAAAATCATGGATATTTATTAAAAACAAAAAAGGTTCTATTGGATATCAAGAGTTTATAATAGAAGTCACTATCACAATCAAAACAAGCTGTCTCTCAGATGAGGCATGAACAATGACTGCAATCTCACAATTTGATTGAAAATTAAAATATAAAAAACTTACTTTGCTAATGCAGCAGGATCCCATGTTGATGGGACAGCCTTCTTAACATGATCACGAAGTACCATCTGAGACTTCTCTAAGGCAACCGTATAGAGCGTAATGAACACTCCATCAAAAGAAAGGGTTTTAGTGTTGGCAGCATCTTTCTGCCAACAACTTGAGAATTCAAACATGGCATTGAAAAGACCTGAGGGAATTTTTCCAGTCAAAGACAATTCCTGGTTGAACTGCTCTGACATCTGGAAGAAAGCAAGGAAAAGTGGAGACGATGAGAAATAGGAAAGAAAAAGAAACCCACAAACATGATATCCTTCTCTGTCATATTCTGTTGTCACGTAAGGCATGTAAAACAAAAGGAACAAGCATACTGCCCTTCCAACAACCTAATCCAGTATATTGAACTGCATGTTAAATATTTGACAAACAGCAAGAATGAAAACCTCATCACAACTCATCCCATTAGCTATGCAAATATGTAGAAAAAACTGATCTCTGGAGAAACTTTTATTACAGTTCATTGAGTCGAGAGGTTTTAACTAGAAGAAAAGGTAATATAAAAGAGGCAATGCAACAGCAATTTAAGTGAGCCAGTTCAAATGACATGTGGATTACAACAATGCAGGGGAAAGAGAGGAGTGCA